GTCTGCAGCAGCAGGAGAGAAAGGCAGCAAACCTGGACAGAGCGGGCAGATGGAGAATGAGGGCACGTCCTAGAACTGGGACAGGAGAACAATTCCTGTCGCCTTCATCATGTGCCACAGAGAGATCTAGCAGACTCGAAATCAGAAAGATGCCACGTGTATGGTAGTTGGAGGTTCTCTGGGAGAATGTGGGTTTGGGCTATGTTGGAAGCATAGTGCAGTGGGTTAGAAGTGGATAGAAAGTGAACCAAAGAAGCAACAAAGACTTTTCCAATAAAGTGCCATGACAATTAAAAGTAAGGAAGAGTTCAAGGGGGACTATAGCTAGGTTTTTTTTTAAAATTAATACAGGAGATTTGAGTCATATTCTACAGACTTAGGACGTAATGGGGAAAGGAGGTGGTTAAAATATACGGCAGGGTGGAGGAGTTGTCAAAGTTCAACAAGAAGAAGTGAATGAGGTTAGTCTTGGAAAGGAAGATGGTAGCTTCTTTCTGTAGAAGATAAAAGATGGAAGACAGAATGTGAATTAGGGCAGAAGAGTGGGTGGAAAAGTGGGTGATGGATTTGAAAAGGACTTCAGGAGTTAATTAGGTACTATCTGGGGAATGAATTGAATTGTTGTACGGGAATCAAAGGGAAGTCAAATAAAACTATATATTTAACTCAGCTTACTAAGTGGGTGATGGAATCACCAACTGAAGACGGAAGACAATGTGTTAAGAACTGTGGAGCAGTTTATTTTGGAGCCTATTGAGTTTTTGGTGCTTGTGAGACATTGGATGAAGATGTCTGATATATTGTCAGTAGCTGGATCTGTGGGAGTTACTGATGTTTAGGTGATGGTTTAAAACCTCAAGAATGGATGATTTCACAGGGGAGAGGATATAAAGTAGGTAGATGGGTGGCCTAAGGGAAAAAACCCAGTGTGCTAGATGGTGCTTAGGTAGGAAAGATCATAGAGAAATCTAAAGTATAGGTCAGTGGGAAGGAAAAAAGGGAGGGAAGAAACAGGGGAAGGAGCCCTGAGTGGAGGGAAATTTCAGAGAGATAAGAAGCAGACCAAATATGAACTTAGCCCATGACAAATCTTTCTAAAAGGTTTTAAAAAAATATTGAATACCAATGCCAATGATTCTGTGTGTAATATATTTTAAAAATAATTTGTTGAAATTGTTTTTCCATCTTGTGAATGGTGTTTGGGTAATGCATTTTCACATACTCATTTTCCAAGAGAAATAAAATGGTGTAGGATGAAACTAAAGTAACTCATGTTCATGAACTTTTTAAAAATGCCCTCTGAAAAGTAACCGAATGCAGCCTTTCAAATTTCCAACTCTTTGTACTTTTTTCCCTGATCAGAAATCTTAAGAGTCTACTTTAAAGCAAGAACATACATATAACAGTAGCCACCAAAAAAAAAGAGAAAGACTTTATCTCTCTCCAAGAAACAGATTCTTTCAGGGAGATGCAGTTTAAAAAAAATACTTTTTTTTTTTAAAGATAAGATAAGACATTGTACAAATGAAACTTTGTGAATTTGTGCTCTTTAAATGGTTGTTTTCTTTGTGCCTGCGGTTCTTTTTGCTCAGCGTTGAGGGAAGATTTTTGTGGGAGACAACGATATTTTATTGTTTCATCGTGGAGCATGGAGAAAATTGTTTCATCTTCTTCCCACTTCCCTTTTTTTTAAGAGTAGCTCTCGGGTCAGCCTTGTACTTGTGATAGTAGACTGTGGGATGCCACTTTCACATTTCTTCACTTGGCAGACCCAGTATCTCAGGCTTTCTGTTTCTACTTCCAGACTTATTTTTGTTCAAGTCTTTCAAATTGGTTATTTCCTTTTCCAGATACTATATTTTATTCCTCATGCATACCTTTTTTTAAACCTAACAGTACACATATGGAATTGAAATGGATAGTTCTCTCGTCTTTTTCTTGCCATGGCCTTCATGGGGTTATTTTAAATTGGTCTTCCCTTTTCTACTGGATACCATTTAGAAGATAGTCACAGAGTTAGATGTCAGGGCCACTTAGTGATATATTTAAAGAGAAATGCAAAGATGTAAGTCCAGGTCTTTATTCTGGGAATGGCATAACCAGGAATGAATATAAATCACCGTTTCTAGATGAACTAAAGAAACAAGTCTTTAGTCAATAAAGATGATAGGTGTCCTTATTTTGCATATTTATTATATCTGTTGCTATCTTAGATTCTTCAACTGACAACAATCAACTTGAACTTGTCACTTGAGAGTTAATAGATCCACCCTTGATTTAGGCAATTTCCGAGGGAGTATATACAGGGAGAAAGACAACTTCGGACCAAATTCCACTTGGCTTTGACTTAAATTCCTTAAAAAAAAAAAAAAGTAGGTGGGGAGGAATAATATCTACCTCATAAAGATTGAATGAGTTCTTGTGTGCTAAGGAACTGGCACAGTCCCTTAATTTGTGATATGTGCTCCATAAATGCCACTCATGCTCATCCCTGCTTCAGCTCACCACTGTCACCATCGCTAATGCTTCATGGACTGCTGGCTATAGTAATGTCAAAGCCTTCCTCCATATATTTTGATCTGTGAGTGGTTCCCTTTGAGTCCCTTACTTCTTCTATCCTGACATTATTCTGACGAAGAATTTATGTGTTTACTTAGAAGTTGCTAGAAGTTGTTAAGGAGCTCAGAAGAAATTTATCCACGTCTGATTTGAAAATTATTTCTTTTCTCTGGCTTTAAACTAGCTATATATTATTGACTTATCGCTGTATAAGAAATTACCCCAAAACTCAGTGGCTTAAGACAACCAAAACTTATTATCTCACAGTTACTGAGGATCAGGAATTCCAGACCATCTTTGCTGAATGGCTGTGGCTCAGTCTCTCGTGAGGCTGCCATCAAGGTGTTAGCCAGGGCTGCAGTCATCTGAAGGTTTGACTGGGGTTGAGGAATTCTTTTCCATGTTTGCTCATGTGGCTTTGGCAAGAGGCAATCTAATGGGAATTAACCTCGGCTCCTTACCACACGGACTTCTCCATGGGGCCACCTGAGTGTCCCACAACATGGCAGCCAGTTTCCTTAGAGCAAGTGATATGAAAAAGAGTGAGAAAGGAGCCATGGTACCTTTTACAACCTGATCTCAGAAACCTAACACCATCATTTCTGCTGCTTTTTATTTATCAGAGTCACTAACTCCAGCCAACACTTAAAGGTACATAATTAGACTCCAACTCTTCCCTCCTCTGCCCCCTACCTCATCCCCTCCTTTCTCTTTCCTCCATCTTTCTCTCTTGCTGTATCTCAGCTTTTTGTCTTACCCGTGATAACCTTCTGCCTGTCTGGGGTTGCCGTGACAATAAAGTGAGATGAACAGCGTGAAGAGGTGGCTTTGGAAGGAGAGGTTAGAAACACTGTGTAACAGCACCACATACCATAACTGTGGAGACAAGTATCGATCCATCTAGCTTTTGCTCTTGCAGCCGAGGAAGCCATTGCAGCTCACGTGGGCATTGTTTAGTCACAGTGCAGGGTCCTTTGATCGGCACTTCCCGAGCAGTGATCTATTCAGGGAGTAGGAGCCGGTACCAGGCTCTTCTCCCATCGCCTGGAAAAACAGCACCACTCATCACTTCAGAAATAGCAAACTGAATTAGGTTCACCTGTTCCATATGAGATTGCCATGGCAGCTCTGTAAAGCTCTCCTGCACCAGGCTGTCCCTTAGTGACTGTTTCTTTCTTACTAAAGCAGCATTTCCCTTAAAGCAGGCCAGCCTGGGTTGAATATTTCTGATCAAGAGTCTCAAGGTCTCTGAAAGCACCAGATCGTTGGGATTTAAGTACTACTGTTTGTTTTTAAATTTGAATTATTTTACTCTAAGTTCACTGTGATTTTCTAGAAGTTCATTCAGTGGTCCACATTAGGAAGGAAATCAGTGGTATTAGCAGCAAGCCCTACCCGTTTTTTTGCTCGTTACCATCATCAGTACCCCAAATGCATTCCCCTGTTCAACAAACTCCACCTTAGATATACCTGATTTGGCCTCCATGCCCTCACCCATTATCCTTAGAAAGACGGTTTTAAAGGCAAGACGCTGAACATTTAGCCACACAGAGCACCCACTCTCAGAAGTTTCACAGGTAGAGGAAAGGGAAGTAAAATATGGTTCTTGCTTCAACCCAGCAGAATAAGGCACATGTTCAGTATATTGAGGAGGGTCTCCATCCAGAAAGCTCAAGATGAAGAATGCTTACATTTCTTGAACTGCCATCTTCTTCCTTCTTTGGGGGTATCCCTAGAATTTTATTCATTGCATTTATGGATTTGGGAGTCATCTCCTGGCTCAAGGGATTAAGAGAGGCATCTGAAATTTGGGAGTTACAGGAGTTTTGTTGTTGTTTTCTGTTACTTCCATTTTGAAAGCCATGATGCTTCTAACTGCCCTCCTGGAGTGAGTTCTTATTGACTACTCTCTCAGAGACTAAAAGATGCACATCAAGTTATACAGAGGGTCAAGAGTTTGCCTAATTAAGCCTATCCTGGCTTTGGTATTACAACTCACTAAAGACACACAGTGGAATTTTCTGGTGAACCCCTTGCCATAATTCAATGGGAACTCAGGAGTACATGGGTCCCACTGGCCCATTGGGTCTAGCTGACTGTGTCTGACAGTCTCCAATGACCAAGGTGTCCTCATTAGATCTGTGCTATATTTAGTTAAACTGGAAATCTGTGCCTCTAATTTAATTGCAAACCAGGTAGCCATGGAGATGACATCAGGCCTCTGGCTGCCCTATAAAACATCACAAATGCTGAAAATAAAATAAACAGGATATGCAAATTAACTTCCTTAATAAATCAAAGACTTAACCTTTAGGTCTCCGGATTAGCTGCTTTGGGTCCACTGATGTTTGTTAGAATTCACAGTGATTTGAAAAAATCATAGTCACAGACTTTGTCTCAATGCTTGTTTTTTTTTATTTTTATTTTTTTGTCTGTTTCAGATATATCAACACTCCTATACTGGATATTATGTCCTGAGCAAACTTCCTCATGGGTAAGATTGTTCTTTCATTTCTTTTAGAAGTCTGTAGCACAAAGCGGGGTGTGTGTGTGTGTGTGTGTGTGTGTGTGTGTGTGTGTGTGTGTGTGTGTGTTGGTAGAACACTGGCTGTTTAACTCTTAGAGCAGGAAACGTGACATCTTAGCTTTTAACTGCAAAAGGTGCTGATTTTGCCAGAATTTCTGGCTTTCCCTGGTAACTACAGTAAAAGTATCAAAGGTGTCCCTTGAGTCCAGTCACTTGCCCATTTGAAAAGCCCCCTTCCTAGAACAACTCCCCTCCTCCCTGCTCTGGTTCCTAAGGTTTACCCTTGAGACTCTGCAGAGCAAAAATGTCCCCTGTGCTTTGTCATCAGCCAAACCCTCAACTCAGGCATCCTAGGTGATACCCACAGTAACACAGCCTAGGTGATACCCACACTAACACAGCAGAGGCCTTTCTCATTCCACCACAAGTCACCACAAACAAACCCACAGCGTATTTATGGGATTAAGGTGAACTGTTCTCATCACAAATTCAACAGCACATTGGGCAAAAGGTCAGGCTGAGTTTGAGGGTCTGTCTTAATTGGTGCTAGACCTGCTCCACCCACCAGCCCCAAGGGGGTTTATCAGGGTATGTGTGTTCTTTTCTGAGCTTGGCTGTGCTCCTGTGAGTGGGGTCTCAGTGCCTGCTTTTGATTGCGCCACCCAGCTTCATGCTGTCTCACGACCTCAGATTGCATACTAAACTCACCTTGTCTCCCAAAAATGCATGATTCAGGACAAAAAAAGCATGTGTGGGAAGACAAGCTGGGACAGCAGGAGCGATTTTACTTTTCAGTGCTGGGCAGACATACCCTTGGCAATATTTGGATCTGTTACCAGCTTTACTTTGGAAACCCAAGAGCAGTAAAGATACTGAGTAATGTCTGGTGAAGGCTTTTGTAGAGTCAGACATTGATTCAAAACAACAACAACAAAAAACAAAACAAAACACAGTTGTAGAGCTAGAAAATCCAGCAGGGTTGACTTTCATCGTTGTTTTCATTTTTATACTTTCTTTTTCTCCCCTCTCCTATTCTCTCATACTTTCCTCCTGGCCTGCTTGTTCCCCATGTTGTCTTTCCCTACCTTCTTGCTTTCTATCATTATACTTTGCAAAGGTTTAGGTGCTCAGGAAATGTTTATAAAGAAATTGAACTGTGCTGCTGGCGATGTTGTGCGGGTGCCTGTGAATATTTAGGTGGAGGCATCCTAATTTTCCCAAGCAAATTTAAACAAGCAGCAGGAGTTGCTGAAAAAGTCTTGTTCCATGGGAGAGCATTAATCACAGCATGAGTGTTTCAACGGCTTCTGTCTGTCTTCTACTCAGCTTAGGTAGACTAGAGGCATCCTCTTGAAAAACAAACATGAAGAAAATAATTTTAGTGAACTTCAGACAAAGGGAAGGTGCCATCGATATGCAGCAAAATGTGACTCATAGTTGCTGTTAGATCATTAGAAAAATCAAACACAAAGAGAGGATGGGCTACGTTGCAAGAAATAAAGTATCCATGGGAATTTTTCATTAAAAGCACATTTTAAATAGAAACCCAAGTGTTCTTCAGTACAGAGGAATTATTTTATTATTTTTCAAGTAGATAGCTATCTTCAAAGGTCAGGACAGGCAGGGATGTAATTATGCCTTGAGATTTTTCTACCCCTTCTGGGAACAATAGAATTTGTTTTCGATGATAGATATTTCATTCCATCTTACATATATTTGTGAAACTAAAGTGGTTTAACACATTGTCTTAATATTTTATGGTATCCGTCAGAATTTCGGAGAAATAAATTCTAAGAGTCCCACTGGCATAGGACTTTGCCAAGCAAGTTGGCCAACCTAAGGACAAGATAGTCTGTTGAAAGCTGGGTTTCCGTGCTTAGTGACCCCTCCATGGTCACCGGTGTGTGTGCTCCACCAGGTGGCAGGAGAAGAACACAGCTCTGAGTTTTAAGGCTTATGCCATAGGTGGATTTTGGATAGACAGGAAAGAACCACTGTCTTTTAAAAATTAAAATAGTCTCTTTTGAAATATTTATGTTTACTTTATTTGTATACAAAGAATCTAATAGTTTTTCTTGATAATTCTGAAGACACAGATCAGTACCATTTTCACTAATTCTCAATTCTTCTTTCCTCACTCCTTCCCCTAAATTCAAGCCAGAGGTCATTCAATCTTCAGGATGGTTTTATTCGTCATTTATAACTTGATTTTTTTTTCTGACTTTCCAACAGAGAAGGGTCATGAGAAGGTTGAATTAATGTTTCAGTGCTCTCTGATTTCTGATTTCCTTCCTTTTTGCAAATGGTAGAAGAGTTTTGGGAGGAGGGGTATACCACCTTCCCATCCCTTTTTAACCCCTTTGTCTCAGGCTGTAGCTTCCCTTTTTCAGTAGTTCTGACCTCTGAAGCTGGGGCCAGGTAGAATTCTTTTTGCATGGAATGACTAGAGTTGCAATGAGACCCTCAAAACAGCTGAATGTTTATATACTTAAAGATCTGGTACCTAAGGGTAGGTTTGCTTGACTTTCACACACCAAGCTTTCAAAAATTGTACTCTTAAAGGACATGTGTTTTTTTACACAAATTTGGTTATTTAAATAGAATTAAAGCTAGTTATTTTTACCATAGAGTGTTTTGCTAAAAGTGTTTACATGAGAATTTTAACAAAATAAATCAATCTTCCACAGTAGAGATTGTAGCCAGCTAAATGTTCTCTTTCAAAGATCAGTTGTATGCTTTCATCCAAAGTTTATTTTTTAATTTTTTTGTAGATTTGACTGCTTCTTGACATATTCCTGGCATGACATTTTTCCTGAATTAGTTTTGCCTTTGGTTTGAGTCCATTAAATATATATATATATTTATATAATATATATTAAGTAATATATATATTTCTAACATGTAGTTAGATATTCCATTAGAATTATTCTAAAAGATATATGAACTTCCTTCTATAACAAAAACCAATTTGTTGAAAAGTTGGTCATATCCCTTTATTTGATAGCATTGGCGTTTTGGGGTCTGGCAAGCTCATAGTAATAACAAAATAGAAACTGATAAGTATTCAAAGGTATTACATGCCAGGCCATCTTCTGTGGATATTGTTGCCATTACTTTGCTCACCTACTGTTTTGGTTTTTCTTCAAGCACCAAACAAAATTGTACAAAAATTGTATTCCTTTAGAATTGTAGCTGACTTTTTAAAGCCACATTCTGTATCTGTGAAAATGAAATTACTCTCTAACTTTATAGACTGAGAGGGAGGTGCAGAGGCACCTTCCGTTTACTTAGAAAATAGATATCTAGGTTGAGAACATATGTGCAGTGCCCAGTGCCTCACCTAATGGCATCACGCAGTCTAAGGACTTGTGTTTTCTAAGCACATAGTCCTGAATTTGAACCCCACCCTGCCACTGACTTTTTGCTGTATGACCTTGAGAGTTATCCTACTTCCACAGGTTTCAGTTTTCATATTTTTTAAAGATAATAACAATAATAATAGCCTAGCTATGTTATAATAATTAAGTGGAATGATATATGCAAAACACACAGCAGAGAATTTTGCTTGTAGTGGAGGAATGGTTTTTAATATTGTAGTATGTACCCAATATATATTTGTAGTCTTGTAATTACATATTATCAGACTTTACTTTCAGGCCAACTCAAATCCTTTTTGTTACAAGTAGAAGAATAATACAATAATAACATTCTCTTTAATAATTTTTCTAAGCTGAGGCTTCTTCTGTGACACTCAGGTAATTATAATGCCTATGTAATTTAAATTTCCCTCTTAAGAGAGGTATCTGTAGCCTCAGCTATCTACAATTTTCAATGCTCAATAAATTCTTTTCATGTCATCTCATTCTGACCTACTGCAATTAACTTGTTTCGCCTCCAGTGGAAGCAGAAGAAATACTATGCCAGCAAATATTTATTGAAATGCTATATTGAGCAACCAAAGCATAGTTCCTATCCTTAAAAATTTTGTTGAAAAGGAAAGAGCCAGGCACGGTGGCTCATGCCTATAATCACAGCACTTTGCAATACTGAGGTGAGAGGACTGCCTGAGCCCACGGGTTTGAGACCAGCCTGGAAAACTTGGCAAGATCTCATCACTACAATAAATCAAAAAATTAGCTGGGCATGGTGACACATACCTGTAGTACCAGCTACTTGGAAGGCTGAGGTGGAAGGATCGCCTGAGCCCAGCAAGTTGAGGCTGCGGTGGCCATGAGCATGCCACTGCACTCCAGCCTGGGCAACAGAGTAAGACTCCAACTCAAAAAAAAAGAAAGAAAGAAAGAAAAGAAAAAAGAAAGAAAGGAAGGAAGGAAGGAAAGAAAGAAAGAAAAGGAAAGACAAATTTATTCAATAATATATAGTAAAGTGCCTCAAATGAGTATCTAAAACACTAAGCAAAAAGAAGTGAGTTGTGGACATCACCATCATACACAATCTCAAGAAGGAAATTTAACTTGAGCTCAGCCTTTAGCTGAGTAAGGTTTTTTTTGTTTTTGGTTTGTTTGTTTATACTTTAATAGATGGAGACAGGAAGAAGATATTTTCGGTTGGGTAAAGCATTAAACAAGCTTGACCTTTGCAGTAAACCAATACTTCCTAGATTAGTGATGAGCCATACCAGACTGGAGCCAGAGTATTGACATGAAACTCTACATGGGTTAGTTAGGTTTTAGGATGTGCCTGTAAATAGGGTTGGTTAGGTTTTAGGATGTGCCTATAGCGTAAATGACCTAAACATCACCCTAGTGTGATTGGTCTTTACAATAAGGACACACCGACACTTTGAGCACAAGAGAGATGTGATGAAAAAAAATAGTAAACTTAAATTAGTTTTGTGTTTGTGTACAGAGTAGGCTGAAGAAAAGGGAAAATTTGAAACTTGGATTCAATTAGAAGGCCAGGTTGAGATGGACAGGGGGAGGGATCACTCCATGTAGAAACCACGC